ACGGACCAGCTAAAGCTTTGCACCTATCATCCATTGAGACACCGATCGTCTCCTGAGTTTAGCCCTCTTTCATGGCTTTGTTTTCCATTGGGGATCCCCTGTCCACTCTCGCATTCAATCGATTTTTTAACATCAGCTAAACAGTGTCTTATACACCAGTTGGTTCAGAAAGTTCTGGCTACTAGTAATCCCATTCGTATCGAAGCTACGCCCACCTTGCACTCGGCCAGACTAAATGTCAGCTATTTACGCCCTGAATGCGCTACCAAAGAAATGTTAACTGAACTGTAGCACGCTTTTGGACTGAGCCTGCTGAAATAGTTCCAGGCATCTGCGCCAGAAGGTCGTTCGGGAGGTTTTCATACAAGCGTGCTCCTTTCAATGTCGTGACGAGCGTCAACGCCCCTATTGCAATCCAGGATGGAATCGCTAAATGAGATCTGGTTCACAAAACCTGTATTCCAAAGGAGTTGTTTACGCTCCAGGTGAAAATGGCTTAGGCGTTGGGCGTCTTGTCGCGGTTGCAGGGTGCAAATCCGATCCGAGAAGAAATGTATATGCTGAGTTTGGGAATCCGCCTTTCCGGGACCTTCTTCGATGTGGGGTTCTGATAGTGTGATCGCTCTCATGACAAGGTTCCAGTGACCTTTTGATTATCACGAATAAATACACTCCTGCTGGCTGTGCACTTCATTGGAACGTTGTGGAGTCTGTGCTTTCGGTAGGACCATTTTGTGATCATGTCTGTGCCAGCACATGACGGGATGGCAGTGGTCTCAATTAGAAATACAACGCGAAAAAACGCATCCGCCCCGTGTTTATGGAAAATACGTTGCCGTGAACTCTCCAACAGGGAGGAAGAGGCTCGGTGTCGGAGTAGGTCTTCGCTTTTGACCTCTCAGATTTGTATCTGTGGTTTTTATCGGTCGAGTAAGGCAAGCATAGTGTCGACTGCCGTGAAGATCACGTTTTTCGCTAATCCTTTTATAGACGATAATCAGTCGTTATCAGTTCTTATTACCATTAACAATCGACTGCTCCCTGATAATAGTCCAGGATCATTCACCACCAAAACTTATCACTGTTGATAATCATAAAGACAGCTGGTCAGAACACAGTTATGTCAAGTTCAAGCAATACTTATAGGCTGTGATCTCGAAGAATCTCTTTATTGCTCGACTTAAAGATGCCCGATCCCAGCCATGCTGCCGAGAGGTATCAGGACATGACTGTGTTGAAGCCATCAAGCTTGCGAATCCAACTGTAAGTATAACGTTTTTTACACTTCTTTATGTAAGAAATAATAACTACAACGCCTTAAGTTCTCACATCCCTCGAGTCGAGACGGTGACGGCACTGTCCATTTGACGTGGCCCGATTGTTTTGATATGGGCATAGACGTCACACTGCCAAGAGGTAACCTTTCTGTGATTTACAGCTTTCACAGCTTCTGAGCCTAGTTAGAAATACTTGTTTTATTATAACAACCGTTGCTATTTCGGTTACACCACCTTTCGGCCCATCAGCGTTACGGTTTCTCTCCAGAGTAGGCATGGTTCATTGCGCTGAGACGTACGTTTTAATGGCTGACGCAGGGGTCAAGTCTGTTGCCGTAACATTTATGCGATAATCCACACTCTCTGGTTCACTAGAACAGCGTCATAATATCACTGAGTAATGGAACAAAATATTTTGCCAAGTGGGGCTCGAACGGCGCACAAGTTGTACACGACAAGCGTGGCTTGATCCTTGTCCGGTGGGGCTCAGCTCGGGAAAGATGCGGTGAAGCTAAGGAAACCTCACACTTTTGTGGGAAGACAGCCCAGAGGTTGGAAGAAATGGATAACAAAAAAAAACAGTAGATGATTAGCAAAGCAGAACTCGGATTAAATGAGGGAGACACGATCGCGATTGGCACTCAAGACGGAAGGTACTTGCTAGAGAGGTTATATCTCAGTCATGAGAAAGTTTGGTGAGCGCAGAAAACTTGGTAAAAGATCAAGATCTAAGGAGAAATGCGCACATTTGAGGTGTGCTCGGGCCCGCCCGCAAAGGGCGGAGCGCGCCCTTGAGCTTTGGGTACCTGTTTGGAATATTCACAAACTCCGAGAGCTATCAGGACTGGGAAAGGGGACCGGGAGAAAGTGAAGGTGCAGCAGGGACTTGCGATAATACCCAGTCGTGAGAGGAGCATGCGCTGATATGAGCCGGGTCAGGGCCAAAAAAACTTGCATATCGGTTTCAAGGCAGCCGACATATGCTACGTTCGATGTGATCGATGAGCATACTGTTATCCCGACACGGTCAGAAGCACTAAAGAGAACAGATCACGTAGAACGCATAGGCCGGAGAAAGTTAATGTCGGTGTCTTTCTCAATGGTTCATTTCGTTGACGTCATAGAATCAGATTGTGAAGTAGAATCGTTCGCTCTATGAATTTGTTTAAGCAGCAGTTTCAGAGCTCCTTTGATGCGAGTTCTCGAAGCTTTTCGTATATTCTAAGGACGTTATTTAAGGAGTTCATATCGACAAGCTCGCTATGAAGTTGGACGTGTCTATCCAACCGATTGGAAAGCTCCGATGTATGGACGTTGCCACATGCGGTCGAGAGTGCTTCTACTGCGATTTCTGCAAGGAAAGCCGGTTGGTTCAAATAATTCTTGGAAAGTTTCGAAATATCAGAAACTGCAATTCCAACCAAGTCAGTACATTTTAGGAAATTGAAGCTCTTGGAGAATACCGATGGAAATTTGTGCCGGGCTACAGCGGAGAGGACCTATCGACTGACCGTCAAGTTGTGTCCACCACCAGAAGATCCAAACTTTACCATGTGTTCGGCCTTTTCCAAGTAAGTTCTTCATAAGAAAACATATTTCACGCGTTTTATAGGGAAAAAGAGAAACCGGTCAGTTACTCTGCTATTCTAACAGTGCACGCAATGCGCCTAGCCTCCACGAAAATAGGTATTTGAAGATGTATTAGATCGGGACCACAATTTGCAGATCTGTTTGGCAAAAGGACTACTGGCAAAAACAAGGAGCTGTTGATGTATGGATGAAGTTCTATGAACGTGGACAAACTCGCCCTGAGGTTCATTTTGACCTTTTTACCCTTCTCATAGAATGAATTACTGGAAGATTGCCTCATTCTATGGGCCATTTCAGCTTGAAAAGGAATTCTTTGCTCAAATCGACAACCCACTGCTCGGAAAAGCTTTCAAATTAGCTATTGTCGCTGAATGGCTAGCAGCCAACAGCTTGGATGTGAGTTTTCATATCTGATTTTTTTCCTGTATTAACTACTAGTCTATTTATTCACGTCGTTGCTACTTTATCTCGTTTTCAAATGGGAGTCCAGATGGGACGCTAACTCGGCGGTAAAGGCGACTCTCTCCACGACTTGGCGCAATTGTACAAGGAATTGAGGCTAGAGAAAGAACCGTATAGAAAATGTAGTCCAGCTGCTGGCAGGAAACGAAACTGTGTTGCCCTTCTTTCACAGACTCACCCTGGGCTCACCACTGCTTTCGCATTCCACTCCCATGGGCGCGCAAGTGTCCTTTTCACCTGTGAAACGTACGCGAAGCGGGCGGTACCAGGTGTGAGACAAGTTACCAGCCATGCTTCAAAATGGTTACTTGCAACGGACTCGCTGGGAGTACTGTATACCCGACTTGGGCTCACGGGACCGACACATTTATTTCACGCCCATTGCAAGGATACTGTGTATTCCTGTTGCCCAGAACTTATAAATTTATGCCCCTAAGATTCGAACCTCCCTTCTGTATCAGATAGATCAACAGCAACACATATCGATAGTGGGAGTAACCAGAAAATGCTGGAAATTCAATCAGACATTCATTTTGTTCGTCAGGGAATCCTTATATAGATATTTTATTTTCAAACTTAATTTTCCATGAACAAGCAGATCCACACCAAAATATCACATTTACAGCAAGGATCCTATACGCCAACGAACTCGGAGCTGTTGGAATTCTGGGTCTCAAAGCGAGATCCCGATCGCCTTTTGGCTTGCCAGCATGCGGTTGTTGACTACGAAATTGAAGGTGCCAAAGTGAAGACGAACGTGCTGTTTGAGGCAGCCACCACTGCCAACTCGGTAAATTCCAGATATTATTTTTCAGCAGAAACAGTCGCGGTTTCGAACAGTAGTATGTCTTTTAAGTATTCATTTCTCTTCTGTTGGAACTCTTAGGTGTTAAAGCCCAGCTCCACCTTGTCCTTCCTGCTACGACCGTTCACATCTTTCGTATAATGTTTCGCAGATCCCATTCAGTTCTAGAGGGATGGTCAATCTGCACGACTCCTAATTCGGTCCTGATACGCAATGTTACGACTCTGGTCACATCCCCATGCACGCCGTCATCGTGCTTAAGTGTTGATTAAAGCGGGCAGTCACGTTCTTGCATCAAAAATCGGGATGTGTAATTGTCGCATATCTTTCAGGCGATCACCCGCAGCACTTTACAACAGCTGCGAAAATACGCATGATACGGAGGAAGAAATAGGATCCGAATAAATGAGAACTCTCTGGCAGCGGGGAATTCCA